TGTTAATCTAGCCAGGCTTTTCAGTTACACCTTGTCTCAATTCTTACATCCAGGAATGGCTTGGTATACTCAGCTAATGACCCCATGGAGGGTAGATGTGTTACATAATAAAGAAGAGCATCACCTCTGTGATTCTGGACAGTCCAGGCTGACAGATATGAACACTTGCATATAGGTCAAACTAGTTAAATATAGAACAGCCGTTATGGAAGGCAGTTGCCAGGGGCTCAACAGCATCAGCTCTGTTTCTGTGGGGGAAGACTTTGCAGATGGTAAGAGCAGAGCTAGAGGCCAGTGAATTAAACAGGATTGCATGGTGGAAATTTAAACTCTTTGGTAAAGGGTTTATTGATGAGTCAACTATATTAATCTGTGAAGATGAATCTTGACATCTTCCTTACCCGACTCCTAATTTATTGCAAGAACCTTTATTTAAGTAACACACCTGTAAAAATTGGTGTGGTTGTACTGACTAGGTTGGGGGAAGGCACCTGATGACAGGTCACAAGATTAGTAAGGTTCTGAAAAGGTCAGAATTGTACTGATTATGTTTAAGACAGATTGTTCCTGTGGGTCTACAGTGTTCCTATTGTCTCTGGCTTCCCATCCACATAGATGATTTTTGAGGTCAGACTGAGAAGGAAGTCATGATTCCAGTGGCAACATAAGGCACAATGACAGCAAAATTCATACATTTTAGCAGCTTTTTGTTTCATGCTAAATTGGCAGACAACCTTGAATAAAAGTGTCTTATAAAATAATGTAGAGGGGCACCTGGGTGGCTCAGATGGTTAAGTGTCTGCCTTCGGCTTGGGTCATGATCTTCAGGTCCTGGGATTGAGCCCCATGTCAGGCTCCCAGCTCAGCAGGGAGTCTGCTTCTCCCTCTCCCTCTGCCTCTTCTCCTGCTTGTGCTCTCTCTGTCTCTCTCTCTTAAATGAATAAATAAATTCTTTAAAAATAAAATAACGTAAAATCTCAGGGCACCTGGGTGACTCAGTCGGTTAAGCGTCTGCCTCCGGCTCATGATCTCATGGTCCTGGGATCGAGCCCCACATCGGGCTCCTTGCTGGGTGGGGAGTCTGCTTCTGCCACTCCCCCCGCTCATGCACTTGCGCGCGCTCTCTCTCTCAAATAAATAAATAAAGTCTTTAAGAAAAAAAACTCTACACGTGTTAAAACTCACAAAACTACATACCAAAATTCAGTTTTACTTCATAATAAATTTTTAAAAACAGATAAAATATAGTATTTATATTCTATTATTCATATTTGGATTATTCACTCTTTAATGCAGTTCTCTGCAAAATGATAGTCATGTGTTCATCAAGGTTTCTGAAATTTAACTAGGGTTTTTTTTCCTGAACTACTTACAGATTGTTTTCCTTCCGTCAGTGTTTTAAAAACTAAGTTCAAATCTGAAAAAAAATAATTTTCTCAATATAGTCATATTTATTGAACAGATGTCTGATGATAAATGATAGCTTGGTTGCTTAAAAAAAATTTCAACACCAAAAGCTATCATCTTTCCAACTGTAGAAAAGACTGAGGATAAGGAATTGGAACTATACCTTCAGTTTTGCCAAACACTTCTGTATGGTAGGGTATTAATTCTTCGAAATTTTGTGACTGAAAAACAGATTCTACATTATTTTTTTTAAAGATTTTATTTATTAATTTGAGACAGAGAGAACAAACTGGGGCGGCACAGAGGGAGAGAGAGGGAAAGAAGCAGACTCGCCTCTAAGCAGGAAGCCTGATGTGGGGCTACATCCCAGGACCCAGAGATCATGACCTGAGCCAAAGGCAGACACTTAACCAACTGAGCCACCCAGGTGCCCCATAAAATAGTCAAAATTGTTATAACAAAGAATAATGTGTGGAGGGAGCAAGCTTACCCAGCCTACTGCTGTAGTAGAATAGGCTGGTAGTAATATAAAAATATAAAGCCTGATAGAAATGACATCTCAATCAATGAAGAGAAAAGATTATTTAGTCTACAATATTGGATCAGTTAATTGTTTGAATAAGAATTATTTGGATTCTTATTTCACATGTACCATTTACAAAACTGAAACTCCAGATAGATTGAAAAATTATATGTAAAGTGAAGATTTAAAAGAGAAGAAAATATAGGTGACTATCAGGGTCTATAGTAGGGAAGGATTTTAAGGGTAAAATTAATTTTAAAAATCATAAAATTAAAAATGGGTAATTTGGGCAACTTACATAGTAAAAAAAAAAAAAAAAGTAAAGGTCCTTCTATATTCAAAAATATACCGTAAATAAAATTAAAAGATAAGCGGCAAGCTGGGATAAAATATTTATAACAAATGAATAATACCCTTAATATATAAAGAATTTTCTATAAATCAATAAGAAACACTTAAATCCCAAAAGAAAAATGTGCATAGGATATGTACAAATAATAAAAGAAAAATTACAAATGATTTTAAAACATGATTTTAGAAAGTACCATCCTCTTCAGTAATCAGACAAATGCCAGTTAAAAACAATTGAAAAATACCATTGTTTGATTATCAAGTTGGGAATTACTTTTTAGATTTTTCTAATATTCATTACTTGTGAGGATATACCAAGATAGTCATTGTCATATACCTTGGTGGGATTATAAAATGATAAAATCTTTCTGGAACAGTATTTGACAACCTATTTCAAGGGCCTTAAAATACTCAACACACCTTTTAAAGTAACAATTTGCATTCAGGAAGTAATCATATCTATTGTCAAGGAGTTAAGTACAAAAATGTTTATCATGGGGCACCTGGCTGGCACAGTCGGTAGAGCATGTGACTCTTGTCTTTGAGTCGTGAATTCGAGCCCCATGTTGGGTATAGAGATTACTTAAAAATAAAAACCTTTTTTTTTTTTAAAGATTTTATTTATTTATTTGACAGAGAAAGACACAGAGAGGGAACACAAACGGGGAGTGAGAGAGGGAGAAGCAGGCTTCCCGCTGAGCAGGGAGCCCGATGCGGGGCTTGATCCCAAGACCCCGGGATCACGACCTGAGCCAAAGGCAGACGCTTAACTGACTGAGCCACCCAGGCGCCCCTAAAAATAAAATCTTAAAAAAACATTTATTGTAACAACATATATAATACTAAAAACTTAGAAATTATTAAATATCTGATAGGAAGGAATTAATGTGAAGTTAGGGGAGTTCTCTGTGCAACCAGTCATACAATGAAATATGGAGCCATGAAAAATTATATAGTTGTATTTATAGTCATGTGAAAGGGCTGAAGATAATATCTGTACTGAAAAAAGGGATACAAACTACCTACACAGCGCCTAATTAATAATATGAGTTATTTGTAGCTAGTTGAATTTTGGATGATTGTGATTTCTTTCCATTTTTTAGTGTTTTTCCACATTTTCTATAATGATCATGTATTTTGCAAATATAAACAAAAATAAAAATTTTAAATAGTTTTCAAAGAATAATTTTCAAGAGAATACAAGATGCAGTGAGTTCCCAATTTTTTAATTAAAATAAATTTAAAATATAGAAATAAATCCACAGAACGTTAACAGCATTTATCTTTAGGTATTACATAGTATATATCATAGGTATGATATGACATAGCATATTTTTAACTTATTTCCATTTGTTCTACAACTTTTGCTCAGTTAACATCTAATGCTTTTATAATGAAGTAAAAAAAAACCCCAACTCTTTTTTTTTTTTTTAAGATTTTATTTATTTGAGAGAGAGAGAATAACGACAGAGAGCACAAGCAGGGAGGAGAGGGAGAAGCAGGCTCCCCACCAAGCAGGGAGCCTGATGCAGGGCTCGATCCCAAGACCCTGGGATCATGACCTGAGCTGAAGGCAGATGCTTAACCATCTGAGCCACCCAGGCACCCCAAGAAGAATTTCTTTATTAAGATAAAGTAATTAAATCCATAAAAGAAAAAAAATGTTAATTTGCTTACATTAATATAATATTATATTATCCATATGTAAGTTAATGTTCATTTTCACCTATTTTGTTTGTTTGTATAAAAAAAGAAAAAATTTATGGAGTGCACTTCCTTCTTTGGTTCCTATAAGAGACTTAAGTACTTGAATATAAATTGTTAGAAGGTCCGTGTTAACCTAATGAATTATTAGCATTTGAAAGTATTTGCATCTATTAAAAGTTTACAATATGCAAACTATTTTCTTATAATGACTCTGTATTCAACAAACTCAAATCACTATGTAGAAGAAATAGCACCCCCTTGACTATTCTTTTTTTTTAAATAATTTTTTATTGTTATGTTAATCACCATACATTACATCATTAGTTTTTGATGTAGTGTTCCATGATTCATTGTTTGTGCATAACACCCAGTGCTCCACACAGAATGTGCCCCCCTCAACACCCATCACCAGGCCAACCCCCCTTGACTATTCTTTCTATAAACTATGTCTCTGTTCTCACTTTACTGTTAGAAAAAGTACTTTGTTTTCGTGTGATATAACCAAATGTGAATCATGTTCACCTCCTTCCGTCATCTGCCCACTTCCCAGTCGACCTCTGGGTAGAGTTACTGCTTAGTTATATAATATGACAGACGTTAAGCTTGCTGCAACTGTTCTCTCACCAAAATTCAGGGAAAATGGGAGAGAGTTGCCATTCACTGACTTAAGACAGACATCTGATAATTATGAGTTCTTTTCAATAGTGAGAGAAGAAATGCATGTCATGAACAGGTTGTTATTTGATGGACTATTCACATTCATTAATATATAATGTACATTTTTGTTTTATGGCTATTAAATATGAGGTTCTGGAAGACTTTTCAGTTTGCAGAATTCTGAGAATGCAGTTCTAATACCTTTGAAGGGTAGAAGCCATGAGTACACCTGCTGTATTTATTAGTCAAAATGGAGCAAAATCAATCTGTGACAGCTTTGTTTTGCTTTCTTTGACTAGTTTGTTTAGTAATATATTCAAATTATGACCTTTACTATAATTTCTTCCCTCAACAGCTTGGTGCTAACAGTGGTTTGCACATAATCATCTTTGATGAAATTGATGCCATCTGCAAGCAGAGAGGGAGCATGGCTGGTAGCACAGGAGTTCATGACACTGTCGTCAACCAGTTGCTGTCCAAAATTGATGGGGTAGAGCAACTGAACAACATCTTAGTCATTGGTATGTTTGCTTTGAAAAAAAAAATTCTGTGATTTCAAAAACATTAGACACATAGGTTCTGAATTAAGATCTGTGTAGGTTGTAGTTAATACTGTGTTGCCCATGTTTCCAAATTAGAATCAGGTGATATTGAAGAATCTTAAGTACCTATTTTAATGTCTGGCCTTAATAAGACAAATAAAAGATGGGTTTTAGTGACTCATGGGTGTATGCTCATAGCTCAAAGATGAAAAAGGCAGCATAGTGTAATGCAGTGGTTTTCAAATTGCATCCTATAGGCCTCTAGGGGCCCTCAGAGGTGCCTCAGGGTCTGTGAGTGAGCTTCAGATCATGTAATCCCAATTATAACTTCTTCTTTTAACTGTTTCATGTACTGAGGTTCTTTTAAGATGACTTTAAAAAACAAAACAAAACTTCTGATATTTATGAAGGTTAAAAACCATTGGCCTACAAAAACGGAGAGAGACTTCGGGGTTGGACAGATCATGTTCACATTGTCCCTCTCTCACTTGGATAGGCTACTTAGCCTCTCTGAACCGTACCTTCTCTTTTTAAATATTTGAAGTTTTCATTACATTTATATTCCACTGGCAGTATAGTGAAATACTAAAGCACAGTCTTCAGGTATTTCCATTAGAACAGATCAAGAACAAATATTTTTATTTGAGAATAATTGGTTTTCTATTTGACCTTTATAAAATATCTTTTTTTTTTAAAGATTTTATTTATTTATTTGACAGAGACACAGCGAGAGAGGGAACACAAGCAGGGGGAGTGGGAGAGGGAGAAGCAGGCTCCCTGCAGAGCAGGGAGCCCGATGTGGGGCTCGATCCCACGACCCCGGGATCATGACCTGAGCCAAAGGCAGACGCTCAACCAGCTGAGCCACCCAGGCACCCCTAAAATATCTTAACTTGTTTGAGAAATTACTATTCTTACATATACTGAAGGGACATTTTATCTTATTTTTTTAACTTTTGTTGTTTTGTTTTGAAATCTGTGCTCAGGAATGACCAACAGACCAGATCTGATAGATGAGGCTCTCCTTCGACCTGGAAGACTGGAAGTTAAAATGGAGATAGGTAAGCAGATCTGTCGCTGGTTGGGGGAGGGGGGTGTGTTTAGGGTTCATTAGTAAGAGCAGAGTCCTATAACTTAACATTGGTTAGAAAAGTTGTGTATGATGAGGAGCACATGTTTACCTGCTTAAGTACCTATAAGAAAAGCATTAGGATTATAATAATTTCTATTTTATTTTTTCAATTTTACCAGGCTTACCAGATGAGAAAGGTCGACTACAGATCCTTCACATCCACACTGCAAGGATGAGAGGGCATCAGTTACTCTCTGCTGACGTAGACATTAAAGAACTGGCTGTGGAGACCAAGAATTTCAGCGGTGCTGAACTGGAGGGGCTGGTGCGGGCGGCACAGTCCACTGCTATGAACCGACACATCAAGGTCAGGAAAATCAGCTAACACATTAGGATTCTGCAGCTCTATAAATACTGTGTCAGTGTTCTTTCCCGTTCTTTTCAAATGTGCCAAGGGCTGTGGTAGTGCTGACTTTTGACAGAGAAGAGACATGGTGAAAGGAATGGGAATTGTCAGCTGCCAAAGCTTCAGAGTGGCAGGAAATAGATGATGCTGGCACCTGTCCCACGGTAACCACTAACACATCTGCCTCGGGTTGCTGCCATCTGATACAAACATGTGAAGATGAAGAGTATGAAGAATTTAGTTTTTAATCTTTGTACTGTGTAGAATTGAACATGTCATAGGAAGTTGGGTTTTCTATGATGCTAGAATTATGGGGGCTGCTTCATTCAGCACATACACTGAATACCTGCTGTTTTCTGAGTATTAAACTGGAGACACAAAGATGATAAACCACGACCTCTCCCCTCAAGGAATTCAGAGTCAGGCGGATGGACATGTTTGTAAATTAGTACAATAATGTTATTGATACTATGGTAGGAAGACATACCAGGATACTTTTATGTTGATAAAGTGCTTTTGAGTCTTCCCCATCCCTTCTTCTCTTCAGGGATAGATGGATGACTTCCAAATTTATGTCTCATCTCTTGAAAGCTTCTTTCTCCCACTTTCAGATTTACACAAAATACCTCTACCTCAGTGTTTTATCAGGTCTCAAATTTAATATTCCCAAACCAAATTCACTGTCTTTTTTTTTTTTTTTTAAACTGCTTTCCTTCCTGTTCCTATTTTCCTGTTTATCCCAGTTTCCCAGGCTTAAAACTTCAGGAATATCTTTAATTCCTGCCACTCTGCTGTGTCCTATATCAAGACATTCGCCAAATTTTGTCACTTCTATCTTGGCAGTGTCCTTCAGTTTCTACCCACCTTCTGTTTTATTAGTCTTCCTGTTTCATACTATTTTACCCTACAGAAACTTCAGAACAAAGTACAGGCTTCTTAGCCTGATCCTTAAGGTCCTCGAGATCTGACCCTAAACTGGCCTTTCCAAATGTGTTCCCAATTATTCTTCATACTTCAGCCAAACTGAAATACTCATTGGTCATCAGACATTATTTTTTCACTTACCTGGTTTTGCGGAAGTCTTTACCCTCAATGTTTACTTAACTTTTTAATACCTAGTTCGTATGCCACCACTTTTCTTCAAACCTTTTCTGATTGTCTCCTTTAAGAAGGATGTATTGTCTTCCTTCTTGAAATAGTAATGTATCACTTATGGTACTTTTGGTTCACTTTGGTTCACAGTAGATTTATTCAGCACCCACTCTATGCCAGACACTATGCAGGCAGCTAATGGTACACCTGAAAGAAGTAAACTGCCCACCCTGAGCAGCCCATGGTTTAATCTCCACATTCACAGAAAGGACAGGAGACGTAAGGAAGTGAAAGGGTGTCAGATGTGGTCAACTCGTGGTGTGAGAGGATGTTTCACAGAGACATTTCTCGGTGAATGTGTCTCTTGGTGGGTTAGGACATTTTAGGTAGAAGGCAAAGGAACAGAGACACAAAATAGCATGGTGTGTTAGGGTAATTCAGTATTGCTTCAGCATAAAAGGTAGGGGAGGGGAGGTAGAGAGAGACATTGTGGGGAAAAAGTCAGGAGACTAAAGCAGGGAGTGGAGCACAAAGAGCCTTTTATATTGTGCTAAGAAGTATGGACTTTTTTCCTGTGAGTAGTGCTAAGCCATTGAAGAGTTTTAAGAATAGCAGCGACATAGTGTTAAAACATAAGCTCACTCTGGCAGCTGTGTCGAGTGGAGTATTGAGGTGAGTAGAGTTGGCAACATCCTATCACTGATTCTAACCTGAGGACTGTGGCCCATGAGCCATATCCAGTTCACCACCAATTTTTATAAATAAAATTTTTGGGGAACATGCCCAGTTATGTATGTGTTGTCAGTGACTGCTTTCATGCTCCAGTGGTAGAGTTGAGTATTTGCAACAAGGACTGTATGGCCCCACAAAGCCTAAAATATTTACTATCTCATTCTTTACAGAAAAAGTTTGTCAACCCCTGTTCTAGACTTTAAGTCCATTTCTTATTCGTGTCTGAATATCCCACAGTGCCCCAAATAGGTCTAAATACTAAGAACGTAGCAGGTGTTTGGTAAGTTTCTAAAATTAGTAAACTTATATATGTATTCTGAATCAAGCTCTACCCATAAGTCATAATTTCCCTACATAATAGAAGTGACTTTGTTCTAGCTCAGGAATGCCAAAGGTCAGGATAGTGTGGAAATAACAGTATTGGTTCCTTTATAGAATGGATCTATCCATCCATCTATTCATTCTTTCATCCTTTCTCCTTGCCATAAGAAATGTCTTAGAAGTGATGGGGACTTCAAGAAAAGTTGTGTAAATGATGTGAGGATTGTTCCCCACCATACTGATCTTTCATCTCAGACCACATCAGTGCATCTTGGTATAATCCACAGTGACTGGTGTATTATCAAAGTTTTCATATGCAGTGGCCTCTGGATTTTTCTCTTAGTCACTTGTCATTTTTACCACAATAGTCCTGTCTCAAAATGTCATTCTAAGCCATTCTGTCACTAAGAAACATACTTTCTTCAAGTATATATTGGGTTTATCTACACACAAAGCAATGAGTAATGGTGGAGAGATCACAGATTTTATAGTCAGAAGATGTGGCTATGCATTAAACTTCTTTCACTTTTTTATTTTTTTATTTAAGATTTTAAAAATTTATTTATTAGAGAGAGAGCGAGAGACAGCAAGAGCCCCAGGGGTGGGGGAGAGAAGGAGGCTCTTTCCCATCAGAGGCCCGACACGGGGTTCGATCCCAGAACCCTGGGATCATGACCTGAGCTGAAGGCAGATGCTTAACTGACTGAGCCACTCACGCACCCCTCACTTTTTATTTCTGTCAAGGGGAAATAACTACTTACCTCATCAGGTTTTTGTGAAAATCCAATCACTTCCAAACTATATAAAATGTTAATTGTTTCCATTTTTTGCTATTATTGGCTAATTTGAGAACCATATATATCTTTTACAATGCCTGAGTTTCTGAATTTGTTGACTATTTGCAGTTACAATTTTTTCCATTGTAAGTGTTAGTTACCACCGTACAGAATATGTTATCCTTCAGATTTGCAAGTAAGAAGTAGTGCAAATAGTTGATATTCTTGCCTTCACTTTTCCCATGTGGTTACTTTTAAACTTAAGGTAGTGCATATTGACTTGTGATCAATATCTTTTATACCAAAGAGCTTTTAATTTTTTTCAGTATCTATGGAATATCTAATACAGGGGACTATTTAGGCACTTCAGGGAAGAGAAAGATTTAAAGGACACTAACCCTAGCCCCCAAGGAGAAATAATGTGAACATTTATTTTCTTTTCTATGTTTTTAAAAATCTGTGTTGTCAAAGGTCTTGAAACACTGTTTTCCCAACAAGACTTCTCAGCTGAACAAAAGGCATAAAGTTGTAATATTTCCTGGTGCCTGGGTGGCTCAGTTGGTTAGGCGACTGCCTTTGGCTCAGGTCATGATCCTGGAGTCCTGGGATCGAGTCCCACATCGGGCTCCCTGCTCAGCGGGGAGTCTGCTTCTCCCTCTGACCCTCTTCCCTCTCGTGCTATCTCTCATTCTCTCTCTCTCAAATAAATAAAATCTTTAAAAAAAAAAAGTTGTAACATTTCCATTGTTATAGATGTTCATAGCTTTACTAGTAGTGAATGATGAGTAAGTATTTAATTTGAAGCTTATGATCTGAAGTTGATATACAATTTTAAAACATCCACAGCATTCAACTGTTTGTTCTAATGTCCTGTCTTCGTATTATAAAAAGCCCTAATTGGTTTTATTTTGCATCCTTTTCAAAAGATTTAGGCTTAAATAAAGTCAGGTAGACTCAATTAAACAAGTTTTCCCTGTTAGACTTTTTTTTTTTTTCAAGTTTTCTGAAACGAGGAGAAAATCCGGTCATAAACACCTGATGTTCATGTCATTTGTACATGAACCCATGTTTGTGGTCAACTGAAATTCATATGACATTTGGTTGTTTTTTTCTTGAAAGGAATTTCTGCTTCAGGTAGAAAATATTCATAACCCGAATTTCTTCTGCTCTAATCGGTTCTAAGGAAGTAAATTGAGGACATGCACACACACACAACACTCTATCTGAATCAAAGCTCTGATTTATGCTTGCAGAATTTCAATAAAATAATTTCTTGTTTTCTGTAGAATTTTGATTGGTTAAGGTCATTCTACCCTTAATTTAAAAAGAATGATAAGAACTTTGAAAGGTCAGATTTAAAAGGTTTGAAATTTAAGGGTGACCACTTGATATTTGCTAGTGTTGAAATACAAGGTTATTAGTTTCTGCAGGTATAAGCTGAAAGATGTTGCCTCTTCTATATTGATTAGCTGTTATAAATAAAATTGCAGGAAAAAATCACAGTAATTCAGACAAACAAGAAAAGGTTTTCTGAATAAAAATTCAGAATTCTAGAATATTTTTAAAATTAGATTTTACTAATTTTGATAAAATAGTAAAAGTTAGCTAAGAGAAGTCCTTAGAAACCTTAATGAATAGGCAGGAATAATTTATAATTAGAATATTGATTGTTTACAATTAGGTAACTTCTAAAATTCCTGGCGTGCCTAACAACTTGTTCTAAAATAACTCTCCCCCAGGGGCGCCTGGGTGGCTCAGTCGTTAAGCGTCTGCCTTCGGCTCAGGTCATGGTCCCAGAGTCCTGGGATTGAGCCCCACGTCGAGCCCCACGTCGAGCCCCACATCGGGCTCCCTGCTCCGTGGGAAGCCTGCTTCTCCCTCTCGCACTCCCCCTGCTTGTGTTCCCTCTCTCGCTGTGTCTCTCTCTGTCAAATAAATAAAATCTTTAAAAAAATAAAAAAATAAAATAAAATGACTCTCCCCCAGCTTTTCACTTTTTAATTCATTGGGTAATTCCTTTCTTAATAGTAAAAAGACGAGTTTCACACGGCTTCAGTCCTGAAATCTATCATATTTTTTGGCATACGTCAAAAGTTAAGATTTTCCTCTCATATTGCTTATGTTTCTATCATTTGAGTTCACTTTTCACCAGCAGAGGAAATCAAAACACAAAACATCATAGTAGAAACTCAGGACTATATACAGAGGAGACATTGGGAATGAGGCTGGAGGTCGGAGGCTTCATTCTGACATGATTCTGTCAGAGCTCCTTCTTACTTTGACCTGAGAGTTGACATCTTGTAGAATCCTTGAAGATGTGTCAAAAAATTTTAATCAGAGTTAAAATCTTTATATAAGATTACCTAGGAAGGAAATCTTATATCTACCCTTAGTTAAATTATCCTACCCTTATTTTAAGAAAACTTCGAGGCTTGTATAAGGATAAAGTGAGATAATGGGTATGATGAAATGAGATAATGTATATGAACATACTTTATAAACTATTAAGCACTGGGGTGACTGGGTGGCTCGGTCAGTTAAGCATCTGCCTTTGGCTCAGGTCATGATCCCAGGGTCCTAGGACTGAGCCCCGTGTTGGGCTCCCTGCTCAGCAGGGAGCCTGCTTCTCCTTCTCCCTCCATCCCTCCATCAAACCCCCGCCTGGCTCATGCTTGCTTTCTCTTGCTCTCAAATAAATACATAAAATCTTTAAAAAATGAAAAATAAATAAAAATAAACTATAAAGCACTATAGAGATTTATATATTATGAACTGAGCACTGTAATTTTTTCATAGAGGTGCTTGTTTCTTGTAACACCATTTCCTTTCTTTAACTTAGAAGTGTCAAATTAATGTGGTTAATATTTTTTTAAGGTTTTATTTATTTGAGAGAGCACGAGTGAGAGAAGGAGCAGAGTGGGAGGGAGAGAGAATCTCTCAAGCAGAACCGGAGCCTGATGTGGGGCTCGATCCCATGATCCCAAGATCATGACCCAAGCCAAAACCAAGAGTTGGATGCTCAACCGACTGAGCCACCCAGATGCCCCAAATGTGGTTAATATTTATCAAATGCCTAATATGTGCCGATGAAAACCCTATTAATAATGTAAATGCTAATTGTTCTCTGTATTTAAGTAGAATCTATTATTATATCTATTTAGATATTATTTGTTACTCTCTTTTTAAAATTATAGAAGTCATGTATGAATATATTCTCTCTGTAGAAGACTCAAGGATGCCCAGTGTTAGAGGGAAAAGTAAGAAACACTGTCTCCAGTACCCCTTCTCTTTCCTTCTCCAGAGGTAGCCAACATTTGGGTTATATCTGTATAGTCTGTTTTCCTTACATTTACATTCATATATGTATGTGCTTTAAAAAAAATCAATGGAATTATACTGCAGTTTATATTTTTCACTTGACAGTAGATCTTGGATAGCTTTCCATGTCAGTATATACAAGTCTTCATTATTTTGGACAAATGCATAGTATTCTAGAATATTATAACATAATTTATTTATTTATTTTTTAAGATTTTATTTATTTGATAGAGACACAGCGAGAGAAGGAACACAAGCAGCGAGAGTGGGAGAGGGAGAAACAGGCTTCCCGCCGAGTAGGGAGCCCGATGCGGGGCTCGATCCCAGGACCCTGGGATCATGACCTGAGCCAAAGGCAGACGCTTAACGACTGAGCCACCCAGGTGCCCCTATTATAACATAATTTAAAATGTAAGATCCATGAGACCAGGAACTTTGTTAGTTTTATATTCTGATAGGAGTCTGATGCCTGGAACAGTAAATAATACTGTTGTGAAAGTGCTTGCCTATCCCTCCCCAAGTGCATGTGAGAATCATTTCCTAGGGGAGATAGCTGGATGTATTTTTGAAGACTACATTTAGTTACATTATCTTCTAGTTTCTAGTGTTGCTGGTGAGAGATATGCCAGTTTTATTCTGGTTTCTGTGCAGGTAACCTGGTTTTGTCTCCCAAAAGGGTTCAAGGACTTCCTCTTCACCTGTAGTGTTCTGATAGTTTCCAACAGTGTGTCTAGACAGATGTGGGGTTTTTTCACTCATCCTGATCAGCACTCATTGAATCTTTTAAAACTGCAAAGACACTCATTTTTTCAGCTGCGGAAAACATTTTTTCTTCTGTCTTATTCTTTTTTCTCTATCATTCTTTCTCTTCCTTCCTTCTGAGTCTCCTCTTGGGTCAGTGTTAAGTTTCTGGATATATCTTCCATGCTTTTTAACCTTTCTCTTTCACTTTTTCATTTCATGGGATTTGGGGCAGGAAGGGAGATAAATAAATATGTTCTGTTTGCCATCTTGATCCAGTTTCCTGACATAGTAACTTTTATCCCATAAGGCTGACTTTTTACAAAATGTCTGTCATTTCATTTGTCTCGACAATCTGTTCCTAAAGGAACATGAGTCATATTTTATAATAATCAATGGAAGGTTGATATTGCTTAATATACTTTTGTTTTACAGTCAGATTTTTTTGGAAGATACCCTCTTTAAAAAAGGTAGTGCCATTTAAAAATTAGACTCACTTGCCTTGTGCTATTGGGAGTGAGCCCAGTCACATTAAAAAATGTGTTGGTATCTCAATCACTCATCAGGTCCAGGCAACTCCAAGTGCTGGTAAAGGCCTTGATGCTTCTCCAGATGTCTGTTCTAAGTGTTAGCTCCAGGTGCAGCAAGCAGAATATTTGGAGCTAGCACATAGATTCTCAACCACCGAGTATGACTACAAATCAAAGTTGTAGGACATTGGTCTTCTAGAATAATGGTTCACAAACCTACTTGAGCATCAGAATCACCTGTGGCACTTGATGAAAATATAAATGTATGGGCCCTCTGTTGGACCTGTCAAATCAAGATCCTGAAGGGAGTGGGGCTGGGCTTCTGCATAACTTTAAAGGCTCTAGAGGTTATGCTGGTATGCAGCCAAGGACGAGAACTACTGTTCTTGGAGACCCTCTGTGTGTATTTTCTCCTCCTCGTGCCTTATTTGGAGAAAAAAAAAAAAAAAGCTATCCAGCATTCTTTGGTACAGATGTGTCATAATTAACTGGTACCCTCTTGCTAGACATTTATTTTGCTTCTAATTTTCTATTATTACAAATTACTCTAATAGATATCCTGATATCTGTAACTTTGCATACATTTGTGGATATATTCATGAGATAAATTCCAAGAAGTGGAATTGTTCAGGCAAAGGTTATGTGTGTTTGTGAATTTGAGAGAGATGTTTTTTGTCTGTGAAAAGATGCCTTTTAAGTCTTCAGGCATTATGTTCTTAGACTGGAAATATTCTTACATCTTGGAAGTCCTTACATTTTCTTTTCATTTCTAATTAGGCCAGTACTAAGGTAGAAGTGGACATGGAGAAAGCAGAGAGCCTGCAGGTGACAAGAGGAGACTTCCTTGCTTCTTTGGAGAATGATATCAAACCAGTGAGTATGGGTATTGAGTGATTCAAGAGAAAAGTAAATGCCATTTTGCTCAATATTCTGTAAGGTTATATCATACATACTTTTAAAAATCAGGAAATCTCAGTATTGGAAGTGTCCAGTATGAGAAACATTTTCACATTAATGCTGGTGGCTGGGTAATTAATCAGTACTTAACTGAAATTATTTCTCATGATAGGGAGATTGCCATCTCATAACACTTGGTATTGTCAGACTTAATTTTTGCCATTCAGTTGGATGTAAAATTAAATCTCATTTTATTTTTGATTTGCACATCACTGATTACTTAGGAAGTTAAGCATCTCTCCATATGTTTATTGGCCATATGAGTGTCTTCTGTGAAATGCTATTCGTGTTTTTGCCTATTTTTCTGTTGTATTGTTCATTTTTTATTTTTATTTGGTCTGTATAAGTTGCTTTTATATTCTTGACAATAATTATTTGTTGCAAGTATCTCGTTTAAAGACAAAAATCAGTTTGTTTTAGCCTTGTCTACTTTATGACTATTGTGACTTTTAAATATAAAATAATTACTTTCAAAAGTTATCGAACAGTGGAATGGAAATAATTTAATCTTTTGCTGCTGTCATCTGTAATAGTTACCAAAAATACTAGAGCCCAGCCTAACTGCTTTATGCCAGGAGTTTTTTAATGACAAATAATTTGGCTACCAGGAAGGGGAAACTAAGATAACTTAGTTAACTAATTAATAACTTACTTTTATTTATTGCACGGGTCTGGGGGATAAAACAGAAAGTAAAATGACAGAATATGTAAGGAAGACTGCTACATATGGTTAGACTTGGAGTGGGGGGAGTCACTGTTTCCTGGTTCAGGTATCTTGCTCCTGCTGTTGTGAGGATTGGAGTATATACTTGGAATCATTAAAGACGAAAGCCAGCCAGTCTACATATTTCCTACAGTAGCCATCCAACCAGTGCTTCCTAGACTCCTTTATAACTTTTTACAGGGCCATTCAGTTCCCATATCCAGAACAGGGAATGATAACTTTCTTCTGTATTCAGGGATCAAAAGACTAGTGTGTGCAAGGACGAGAGGGTGGTCTGCAAAGTGATTTGGTGGCAAAGTAACAGAGTAATGAGACCACTGAATATTGTTAAGAGACAGTATTACAGAGAATGATTTTCTGTGAGGCACAAGTTCTAATGTTAAAATCATTCCGTATGTTGGGTTTTTGAGGGATGTGATAATTTTTTAAAATTTGAAATTCTTAAGATGTGTGGCCCTTAGATTACGTTGGGTTATGTTTTCTTACTCATTTCTTTACTTGTTAACCTTATGAAAACGCAATTCAATTAAGTCACTAAGTGCTAACATTACTGACTTCTCTTGGCAGCTGGTTTGATGGGAGTTACAATGTGAAAGTAGAAGTTGAAAATGAAGAGGGATGTGATTTAAGCTCTAATATGTAGCAAGCACACATAAGATTATTATATACAGTAATTGCTTTTATTTCCTTTTTCTCCTATTTCAGTCTTTCAGTATAGCTGCTCCTTTCTACCTCATTCTGAATCTTATATTTACAAACCTAGGCTTACCTTGCTGCCATTTAACTTATGTCCCCTGCTACCAAGCTGATGTGGACAAGATCTTCTCATTACCATTTCATTTTCCATTTTAATCCGAGACACCTACCGTCAGTGTGAAGATAGTATCTCCGTTTGCTGAGCCAACTGCTTCTAAGTCCATAACCTCTTCTCTTTGTTCTTAACAGAAGGCCACAACCAATGTACTCCCTACAGAAACAAGCACGTTGAAACTACCCTTTCTCAGGGATCACAAGGGCTGGGGCTCTTGTAGAATCTGACCCTAGAATCTATGTTCTACTCCATTAAGTTCCCCATAGTAACTCCCCCACCACTGGGTAAAAGGTTAAATGAGAAATTATAAAATAATGGGTTTTTTGTTTTTGCTTTTCAAGCTTTTTACATTATTATGGGATATTGCTCAACACTTTTAATGTGTTGAAATTATTACTCATCTTTTGTACCTTTAAGTATTTTAGTTTGTATACTAACACTCAAAATGCTTTAAATTATCCTTTTCCTCCATAGGCATTTGGCACAAACCAAGAGGATTATGCAAGTTACATTATGAATGGTATTATCAAATGGGGTGATCCAGTTACACGAGTTCTAGAAGATGGGGAGCTGCTGGTTCAGCAGACTAAAAATAGTGACCGCACACCACTGGTTAGCGTCCTTTTGGAAGGTAAGAAAGAATGAGGAGATGGCATTAAAAGTAAAAAAAAAAAAAAAAAAAAACTTTTGCAAAGTTATTTAGCACATTCCAGAAAAATGAATTATTTTCTGTTCTAAATCTATTCATGATCTAAAAATAGTAATCCAGTCTATGTATAAATATTGTGCATAAATTAAAATTTTCTTGGGGTAGAATGTTACTGATGAATGATAGCAACTAGTTTTCTTGTGGGATTGTATCTAAATTTCTGTTACTTAATAGACTGTATGCTACCACAGAGTACTTGAGTTAATTAAATAAATATCCACTGAGTGCTATGTTATATAATAGACTGGTAGCACATAGTGCTTGATTCAGTTAAATAAGTATTCATTTAGTAAAATGTTTTAGGCATTGAACCGGTTGCTGGGGATACAAAGACATTCACAGAGTTCAGTCTGGTCATGAAGAAAAGACATGTAAACAAATTCTTAACTACAGTATATATGTGTAAAGGTGTATGTGAATGTAAGTCATTTTACCCAGGGATGATCAAAGAAAGCTAAAGGTGGTGTTTAATTTTAGACTTTGAAGGATTACGATTTTACCAAGTAGACGGAAAGGCAGGGACATTCTATTCACTAGTTACTTGTTTACAGTTAAAATTAGTACAACAGAAAGGTTTGGTGAGTCCACATGACAGAGGAATCTTTTTTTTTTTTAAAGATTTTTTATTTATTTATTTTTGAGAGAGAGAGAATGAGAGAGAGAGAAAGCACATGGGGGGGAGGGTCAGAGGGAGAAGCAGACTCCCTGCCGAGCAGGGAGCCCGATGTGGGACTCGATCCAGGGACTCCAGGATCATGACCTGAGCCGAAGGCAGTTGCTTAACCAGCTGAGCCACCCAGGCGCCCATGACAGAGGAATCTTAACTCCTTCCAAAGTCTGGGAGTGAGGGCCTCCTGAACACATTAAGCCAAGACCTGAAGGATGAGGAGAAGCTGGCCAGGCAAAGTAATTGGGGAAGATTCTAGCTAGAGGGACCGGCATGTGAAAAAGGCCTGGGCGAGAAGGGGATTGAAACAGAAAGGGACATTGGCTAAACGTGAAACTGAAGTAGACAGGAGCCAGTTCTTACATAGCCTTGTAGACCATATTAAAGATTCAGTCTCTGTCTGGAGGGGCAATGGAAGCCATTTGTAGGGTTTTAAGCAGTGAAGTGACATGATAAAATTTGTATTTTCAAAACATCATGACTGCTTTGTGGTAGAGAATAGATTGGAGGGTCAGAAAAGATACAGGAGAAACCAGTGGTTAGAAGCAGCTGCATTAATGCATCTTTTTTTTTTTTTTTAAGATTTTATTTATTTGAGAGAGAGAGAGCATGAGAGGGGGGTAGGGTCAGAGGGAAAAGCAGACTCCCTGCTGAGCAGGGAGCCTGATGTGGGACACGATCCCAGGACCTGGGGATCATGACCTGAGCTGAAGGCAGACACTTAACCGACTGAGCCACCCAGGCGCCCAAGTGGACCATTTTGAGAAATATGTAGGAGAGAGAATAAAAGAGACTTCGTTATTATTATTAATTATTAATCATAATTAAGCCAACATTCTTTGGACTGTTATTTGCTAGTCACTCTATTGGCACTTTACCCTTATTATCTTATTTAAACCCCACTTCAGTCCTCTGAGGGCAGATGCTTCTGTTAGGTCTATTTGGTAGATGGGGAAGCTAAACTTAGAAATATTAAGTAACTAGATTGAATATGGGGAAGAGTTATCAAATATAATCGCCAGGTTTCTACTATACACGACCTGGTAAATGCTGCTGTTTACTGAAATTGGGAACACTAGTGGAGAAGCACATTTCAGGAAGAAAGATTATGAGTTCAGTTTTGGATATGTTGAGTTTGAGGTTCCTATAGGATAATTGAATTGGAAATGTTGAGCAGCCCATTGGATATGTGTGCACAGAAGAGAGGTCTGGCTGGCAGTAACATTATCATGAGTGTCTGTATATATAGACTGTTGTTGAAGCCATGGAAGTTGGGTGAGGTTACTTACAGAAGGGGTGTAAGTTGAAAAGAAAAAGGAGCCTACAAGTGATCTCTGAGGTATGTCAACATTTAAAAACCAAGTAGATCAGGAAGAGTTGATAAAGGAGACTGAGCAAGAGGTGAAAGGGAGAGAAAGAGAAGGAGCTATCACAGAAGCCAAGGAAATCCATTGTATCAAATATTCCTGAGAAGCCAACAGATAGAGTGTCTGTTGGATTTGGTGACATGGAGGTCATTGGTGACCCAGCTGGGAGCCTGTTCCATGTAATGGCAGTGGAAGCCAGAGGGTTGGTTTGAGGATGGAGGGAAAATGAAAAGTGAAGGTGGCCAGCATAGATAATTATTTAGAGAAGTTTCATTTTGAAGGGAGAAGGAGTGCTATTGAGGGGTGTGAGCCCAGAAAGAGTTTTTTGCTTTGTTTATTAAACTGTTAGGTAGACTAAAGCATGCTGAGATGCTGTTGGACAGACCGTAGGGAAGAGCGAGAGATAGAACAAATGGGGAAGAGGATTCAGTCAGTGTCAGGTTCCTGAGAAAATGGGAAGGAGGAATTGGTTGGTTTATGGATGGAAGAGAAGGGAAAGAGGAGATGTCCAAATACAGATAAGTTTATAGATTGGGTTGCCTTTATGAGAAGGCCTAACTAAATCTTTAAAATTTTTGCTTTTTAAGTCACATTTGCTTCAAAAAGGCATTTTTTCCCTGCCCCCCAATGTCATCTCCTAAGAAGATCATATTTTTTTATTAGACATATGATTTGATGGAACTAATAACATGAGTACGCATATGCATTTGAATGCATTCTTTTTTTTTTTAAGAAACAAAACCCTTGCATTTTATATATTTAGCCAGAAGTTTGAAAGATTAAGACTGTGAGAAAGAAAGAAGGAATGTATTTCATCATACCTTTCAGAAATGCTAATCAGTTCATTAAGTTTAGTTGCTAATAAATAAGAGAAAACATGTCTGCTATGAAATTGTGTCAGGAAATGTTAATGAGCAACTAGTTGAGACCTCAGTACATTGTGGATAAACGTTTAAACTTGTTTCATTCCCCTTTGCTTAGGTTGGCTTTTTTCCCCTGACGTGTTCCTATCTTTATGCAGGCCCTCCTCATAGTGGGAAGACTGCTTTAGCAGCGAAGATTGCAGAGGAATCCAACTTCCCCTTCATCAAGATCTGTTCTCCTGATAAAATGATTGGCTTTTCTGAGACAGCCAAGTGTCAGGCCATGAAGAAGGTATCAAGATTTTTACTTTCATTTTAATCTCCTATCTCTTAGATACACATGTACCCGTATATCTGTCTTTGTACATGTATATATGTAAAAGCCATAGCAACTATGTTCTTCTCAAGTGGAACTAAATTATCAGCAGAATTTGGGGGGAAACAATCATTGTTTTAGGTAGATTTAACTTTGTACTGCATTCTTATTAGCATTTTTTTATCTTCCAAATTATGGTTTTTTTTTAAAGATTTATTTGAGAGAGAGCGAATGAGTGGGGGGAGGGGCAGAGAGAGAGGGAGAAGCAGACTCCCCACTGAACAGGGAACCCGATTTGGGGCTTGATCCCAGGACCCTGAGGTCATGACCTGAGCCAAAGGCAGATGCTTAACCAACTGAGCCACCCAGGTGCCCCCAAATTATGTTTTGTTTAATACATACTAATTTTCATTTCTTAAGTTTGTATTGACTTGATTGAAAGAAAGATCAAGTTAAAAGTATTTGAGTAGACGGGCACTCGGGTGGCTCAGTCAGTTAAGCATCCCACTCTTGATTTCTGCTGAGGTCACGATCTCAGGGTCCTGGGATTAAACCCTGTGTTGGGCTCTGCGCTCAGCGCAGAGTCTGCTTGTACCTCTCCCTTTGCTCCTCCCCTTGTTCACTTTCTCTCTCTCTCTCTCTCTCTCTCTGTCCCTCTAAAATAAATTTTTTTTTTTTAAGTATTTGAGTAGACTGGAGCAAATGCATTTAGCATTTTTTTTTTTAATCAGTGTAGTTTGGGGTCAATTAGGTTGACTGTAGTTTGGAAAAGAAGAGGTATATCTTTGGAAAGATATTCTCAAAACCCCTACAAAGGGATGATGGTCTTTTAGGACAATCAGAGTTTGCTTGTCAACTTAACACAGCCCTCATCCTTCTTCCTTTCTTTAAGTGCCATTTGTCACCTTCTTAATGCAGCTGCTTTGAACCGTCGGTGAAAGTTAGAGCAACATAGAATAGAATCCTAGAGCTGAAAGGACTCTAAGACCATCTGGTCCATCTCTCTTACATTCAAGCAGGTGCCATGTATGGCTTCTAGGATAGTAAGTGGCTACTCTTTAAAAACAGCAAAAGTCACTGATGAAGATGTAATGACTGTTTCATGTCACTTGGTAGCCTGTGTTCCCAGATATTCTGATTTGGTATACTCCCAGGCAGTGAAGAAGTTATTTTTTTATATCTAGTTGAAGTATTTCTTTTACTTAAATCCGATTTTTCATGCTTTATCTTTCATAGATATGAACTGACTGTTAAAGAGATGTGGGAAAATCAGAATCCGAGAAAAGAGCTTTGAGAATTGGGGTGCTGCCTAATAAAGACAGTTCTGGAATTCTTTAACCTTGCTCCTAGGCCCCCACTTTATAAAGATAGAGGATACAGTTACTTTAGGTTTTTTTAAGGGAAAAGACTGAAGAGGAAAGATAATATTTTAAAATAAGCCGACTCCAAAAAAATGTAAGTTTGAGAAGTTAGCTTCTTGTTTGTGCAGATGGCAGAAGATTGTTCGAGTAGCATACTTGAAATGGATGGAGGGGGCAGAGCTTGAACCAGGATTCTTGTCCTGTACACTGTACCGTGAAGACAAATATTCTATGGGGTACCTGGGTAGCTCAGTTGGTTAAGCATCTGCCTTTGGCTAAGGTCATGATCCCAGGGTCCTGTGGCGGGCTCCCTGCCCAGTGGGGAGTCTGCTTATCCCTCTCTCCCTCCCTCTGCCCCTCCCCCTGTTTGTACTCTCTCTCTTACTCGCTCTCTCTCAAAATAAATAAAATATTTTTAAAAAGATAAATATTCTATATAAAAGCCTTTGAACTTGAGTGTGAAAGAGAGGAAAATGTTGCCAGACAGAAAAAGAACTTAAATATCATAGTCCGTTTATCTGTGTCTGAGGTGAAACCAGTAGTATCTCTCCTTCTGGGGAAAATCTAGACAGAATCACTAGAACCAGTAACTTCCTTAATGTAGGTGGGGGTGGTTTTTGTTTTTTTTTCCCCTCTGAGGGAACCTAAACTTCCTCTGGTGAAACTTTAAATAATAGCCCTTGGAATCTGTGGCCATTGAATGTAGCATTTAATTGAACAGCTAATTCTGTTCGCATTTCCCTAACTCCCATCTATTCCTTGTACTTGTTCAAAAGTAGTAGTCTCCCTTGCAGATGGTAAATTACTGCATTGCTTTTCACCAGCTGCCAGCTTCTACCTCAGATGTCCTCTGAGATGTGGGTGGAATGGTCCTAGTTTTTCTATAAAGTTTTAAAAAAGCACTTTAGGCTCCTACAGATCAAAGCTGCTTTGTAAGTGTGAGATATTATCATTTTTATTATTTTAATCTCTTGCAAATTGACTTGGGGGGGAAGGTAATGTGTGCTGGGTTTAGAGGCTTAAATGGTTAAATTAATGGCTTAATAACTTATGATTTAATCTTTAAATCGTTAAAGCCTTTCAAGGTAGAGTTTTAGATGAGTGGAAGGCTAAGGAATAAAAATAAATGTCTATACAAGCTTATTCAAAATTGTTTCGATTCATGATTCACTGTCTGGATCATCCATGTACCCTTAAAGTTACAAAAATTATTTCCATGTCACCAGTATAATAAATTCATATTAGACTTTTTGGTTTTCTCAGGGAAAAAAAAATGTCATTCCCTGTAAATAAGTACAGGAACAGAAAAAAGAATGAGGCATAGGTGTCTTAGAAATATATTAGAAATATTGCAAAATCTTTCCCTGCAAGTAGTTTTCACATTGTTGCCTAATGATAGGTTGACAAAAGCCTGCGGGCTCAAACCAGTCTAAAGGTGCTAAGTCTTCCAGGCTGCTTTTGAAAATGAAAATGCCATTCCTCAGTACTTCTAGCCTACCTCCCACTGCTGTTCTCTTCCCTTCATTTTTAGTGTTAGGATAGGAAGATATTTTCTTTCTTTCTTTTTTTTTCAGAGCACAAATAATCTATAATTTTTTATCAGTTCTAGAAAGACATTTCTTTCCTTTTACGTGCTGCTCCTCCTCAAAGATGCAGCTTTTCTAATCACAAAAATAATTTAGAAAATAGAGAAAAGAGCACAGAAGAATAAAAAAAGGACTCCATATTTGTCCTCCAGTTTTCTTCTATACTCAGACACACACACATTGTTTATTGGGGATCACATTGGACATACTGTTTTAAACATGCTTTTTTCACTTAATATATTATGGCTTTTTTTTTTCAGTGTCCTTAAAATGTATTTCAGTATTACGTTAATAGCTGTATAGAATTCGTTTAAACATTCCCCTTTTGCTGAACATTTAGTTTGTTTCCGGTTTTTTCACAATTAAAAATAATATTCTATAGAACCACCAAACTAGGGAAATCACTACTCCCCATTTTCTTACTAGATTTTTCTAAAAGTAGCATCATATTTTAATGGCTGAGAACTTGGGCTTAGGTTTCAAATAGATCTGCCTTTGAATCCCAGCTCCACCACACTTACTAGGCCTTATAGTCACTTAACCTCTAAGCCTCTGTTTTGTCGCCTATGAAATGAAGATAATATTCAGAATTAAGTGAGATGATAATCTGTGTAGAGTATCATGCAGTGCCTTGGGATATCATATGTGCTCAGTAAAGTGTAGTGGTTATTTTTACATATCATTAATACTGTATATACATTTCCGGTTACTTCCTTAGGATAAATTCTCAGAATTGGGATTGCTGAAGTAAAAACATTAATATTTTGAAGATTTTTGATAAATATTGGTATCAAAACTCTTATGTAAAAATACTGCTGATTTATAAAGTCCACGTCTTCAAAAAGTTGTACTGATTTACACTCACAGCCCCATTATGTGAGTGTCCATTGCCTTGGACTCTCACCCATACTTGATGTTATTAAAATTTTTTTTTGCCAGGGCACCCAGCTGGCTCAGTTGGTGGAGCATGTGCCTCTTGATCTCAGGGTTGTGGGTTCAAGCTCCATGTTGAGTGTAGAGATTACTTGAAAATAAAATCTTTAACAATTAATTAATTAAAATTTTTTTTGCCAATTTGAGAGGTAAAAGATTAGCATTTAAAATTATTTCTTCAGCTACATTTTAATGACTAAGTGCTCAAGTTAAAAGATTTTTTAAGTGTTTTGTAATGGCAATAGTTGGTGAAACTCAGAAATATTATAATTTCATATAATTTAACACACAGATTTTTGTTAAAGAGAGGTGGTCTGATTCGTTGATTCATAGAACATCTTTATATACCATTTTATTACTTAAACCAAGAGGTAAGAGTTTTTGTTAGTAGAGGGTCATTCATCTTGCTTTAATGAGTATCTGAGATTTAATTACAACTAATTGTAATTAAGCTATTGCTTCTTGTTCACATATGGATGGTGCTAAAATACATGAAAGTGGTTTATTTTCAATTAATTTAAATTTTACCTTGTACTTCTCTTAGTTTGCTTAATAAATCCTTTCTCCATGGATAAACTCCTCAGCACTGCCATTATCCTCACATTGGGGGGTGGGGTGGGCGGAGATACCATATGTTCCATTAAGATGTTTGAAGTGTTTACAGATCATCTTCTCCCCCATTTTATGTTTGTTTCCCAACTCCATTCTATTTTTAAATTCAGTTCCTTTATCCATATTCACATCTATATTTTTTTTTAATCTATTTTACTGGTTCTATTAGTGCCATTAAATGAACAAAAGAACAAAACAATAGAGTTTGATTTTAACTAGTTACCTAATCTTGATGCTTTCTGAGTACACAATCAGTACAGAGATGAAATAGAACAATCCGATGTGACTAAGTTGAACAAAATTAAGTAGGAATATCAGTGATTTATAACACTACTCATTAATAACATAGTCTTGTTTTTAAAGGACTGAAAATTATTGGAAGAAATTTTCCTTTCCACTAGCTTTGCAGGAAGGAAATAATCTTCTTTGAATATCCTCCTGTAAATCCCACTGCAAATTGTAGTCTGTACAGAACAGAATCATG